AAGCACGTAAGGTTGCAAGTTGAGTAGCCCGCATATCTTAATCATAGTTTTCAAACCTACTGATATTAACCAGGGTTAAGAGCATGATTCTCCAATTGGCTGGTGGATGGCTGAGAGTATTTCACCTTGCAATCCCCAGTAGCTGGAGTGACAGGTCTTGCTTTTTTTGTACCTTTTAACAATATTCCATAGACGGGGTCAACATTTTAAAATTTAGTTTCTTTACAAAAAAACGTGTATTTGTTTATTTTATTTAATGCAAAATATGCAGGCATCTCTTTATATTTAATATCTCTCCGTGCCTTTCGAGGAAGAAGGCTATAGCCAAGAACAATACCATCGCCTTTTCGGTGTGAATTGTCAGAAATGCAAATGATAAGCTGCGCTCCCTGCTAGGACACGAGGAAAGGTTGGAAAGGGTCATATTCAATACATGTCCCCGGAGAGAGCGGGATCAGCTGGTGGATTGGTGGGGGCTCCACTTTGATCTGTGTGGCTGTGGATATAGTGAGATGAATGCTGGGAGTTGTCAGGGCAATTAGGGAGTTCGAGATATCTGTACCGATACGCCTTTTATCCAATCTGGGATAAAACACGAACGACTATAAATAATAAAATAATCCCCTTTCTGCTCTATATTCGTATTCAGTCTGATGGAGATGATGTTTTCTGTGTACCAGGGTGAACACATATTAACATTATCCTGTTTGCGACTTCTGCCATGCTGGTATTTGTATAAATTCGGATTAAATATTCACATTAAATTTTCAAAATGCTTCAGCCTACTGTAATAAACGTGAAAAGGGAGATCAAACTTTGTCATTGAATGGTGTAATAACAGCGGTTTTTATATATCTATTTGTTTTATTTATTTTTATTTGTTGTTCAAATTTTAGTCAGTCAATTAATAACTGCATTGTGTCTCAGCTGGGTGTTACACTGTCTGTGTCTCCTCTGTCGCACTGTGTGCTGTGTACACTCTATCTTTGTCTACTCTGTCGCACTGTGTGCTGTGTACACTCTATCTTTGTTTCCTCTGTCGCACTGTGTGCTGTGTACACTCTATCTTTGTCTACTCTGTCGCACTGTGTGCTGTGTACACTCTATCTTTGTCTACTCTGTCGCACTGTGTGCTGTGTACACTCTATCTTTGTCTACTCTGTCGCACTGTGTGCTGTGTACACTCTATCTTTGTCTCCTCTGTCGCACTGTGTGCTGTGTACACTCTATCTTTGTCTCCTCTGTCACACCGTGTGCATACTATCTGTGTCTCCTCTGTCACACTGTGTGCATACTATCTGTGTCTTCTATGTCACAATTTGTGCACACTATCTTTGTCTCCTCTGTCACACCTTATGCATACTATCTGTGTCTCCTCTATCACACTGTGTGCACACTCTGTCTGTGTCTGCTCTCACACTGTGTGCCCACTTTGTCTTCGTCTTCTCTGTCACACTGTGTGCACACTCTGTCTGTGTCTGCTCTCACACTGTGTGCCCACTTTGTCTTTGTCTCCTCTGTCACACTTTGTGCCCACTGTCTCTGTGTCTGCTCTCACACTGTGTGCCAACTCTGTCTGTGTCTGCTCTCACACTGTGTGCACACTTTGTCTTTGTTTCCTCTGTCACACAGTGTGCATACTCGGTCTGTGTCTGCTCTCACATTGTGTGCCCACTCTGTCTTTATCGCCTCTGTTACACCATGTGTGCACACTGTCTCTGTGGTCACACTGTGTGCACACTCTGTCATTGTCTCCTCTATCACACACTCTCTTTGTAACTACTCTTTTACACTGTGTGCACACTGCCTGTGGGTTCTCTCTCACACTGTGTGTACACTTTGTCTGTTTCCTCTCTCTTGCTGTTTGCATACTCTGTCTGTTGGTTCTCTCTCACATTGTGTGCATACTCTGTCTGTGGGTTCTCTCTCACACTGTGTGTACACTTTGTCTGTGGGTTCTCTCTCACACTGTGAGTACACTTTGTCTGTGTTCCCTCTCTCTCGCTGTGTGCATACTCTGTCTGTGGGTTCTCTCTCACATTGTGTGCATATTCTGTCTGTGTTTCCTCTCTCGCTGTGTGCATACTCTGTCTGTGGGTTCTCTCTCACATTGTGTGCATACTCTGTCTGTAGGTTCTCTGTCACACTGTGTGTACACTTTGTGTTTTCTCTGTCACACTGTGTGTACACTTTGTCAGTGTTTTCTCTGTCACACTGTGTGCACACTCTGTCTGTAAGTTTTCTCAGTCAAACTGTGTGCACACTTTGACTCTTTGTCTCCTCTGTCACACTATGTGCATTCTCTGTCTGGTTCTACAATGTCACACTGTGCACACACTGCCTGTGTCTTGCCTACTACATTACACGTCCACACTGTGTGCATATTGCAGCGTCTTAACTTCGGAGACATTTGTGCACAGAAAATATCATTTACTTTTAGAGTCAGATAGCCCAACATGCTAAAACTATTACATTTTAAACTATATTTACACTATTTTAAAAATGACTAATTTGCTACTTGATTAATAAACTACTAGTAGCAATAAACCCTAAATGGGTGTAAGGTTGTTTTTTTAAAGTGTGTACTTTCCCTCGTTTGCATTTTATTTATTTCTACTTTACATTTGATAAATAAATACATGATTTTTTTTCAAGCATAAATTTGGCTTCCTTCCCCCACTAACCCTCCACTCTATATTCAAGGAGCAAAATGCGTTCACTATTTCTTTCACTAGAGATAGAAATTAGCATACTGTATCTGTATAATTTACTCTACGTATGTGTTATACATGAATATACATTAAGTATTAGGTGTTGGTGGTGTATCACGTTTCATCAGCGTGTGTTGGATTCATCCTTTCAAACTGTCACATAATGTAATCTTTGCATGATCTCCAGCTGTCTCTTTTTTTGTTGGACCCTTCCCCTTTTAGAGAAATCAAACCGGCCTGCACAGGTATACTGTAATGTGAGGTTTAAAGGAACATTATGTGCAGGACTTCACTTTGTTTATTATTATTGGTGGTGTTTTGAATGCTTAATGTTACTAACACTTCCCAACATTTAAATGGCCCAAGAGGGACAGTTTCATTTAAAGGGTCATGCATCACTATTTTTTTTTTTTTTTTTTAAACCAGCAAGAGCTAACACTTATAAACGAATAAACAAAACAAAATTAAAACAGAAAAACTTTGGAAAGTGTGTAATAAATGTTTATAAACTTCCTATAAACATAGTCAGATTGCATTGTTGGGCACGCCTCTCAGCAACAGGAGTTACTTCAGCCACCTCCCCTCTTAACCATCCAGCACAGTTTCAGATCAGTCCACTAATGATAGAAAGAGAGTATTGTTGTGCAGAAGCAGGAGAGAGAAACACAACACCAGAGCCTGCTCTGCATGATCTCACTGATCAAACCCCCTTATCCACCTGTCAAAATGTTGCAAGGTCAGGGGCGGACTGACCACTCGGGCACTTCGGTCATGGACCGAGGGCCCGAGGCAGTCAGGGGCCCGGCCGCACAGCCATGCTCCAGCTGGAGAGATCAGCGATCTCTCCAACTGGAACGAAAAAATAAAACTATTTAATTGATAGGTTGTGGGGCCCCTGATGCAGCGCGGGGCCCCACAACCTACCGCTGTCTAAATCCACCCCCCTCCCTCCCTCCTCCCACGAGACCTGACAGCTTCACCTCCTCTCTGCCAGGTCTCCTGCTTCCAGTCCCGCGGTGCTCTGTGTGATGGGAGAGGCAGGAAGTGACATCACTTCCTGTTTACTCCTCTCACACACAGAGCCCAGGAGGGGAAGGAGCAGCAGCCTGGGAGACCACAAGGAGCAGAGAGACAGGTAGGCTCTAGGTACCCCTCCCCCCCTCACTGTCACTAGTCACCCCCCCACTGTCACCCCCACTGTCACTAGTCACCCCCACTGTCACTGAGTCACCCCCACTGTCACTAGTCCACCCCCCCCCACTTGTCACTTCCAAGTCACCCTCGCTGTCATTAATCCACCCCCCACTTTCCAATGCCTAGTCACCCCCCACTGTCACTAGTCACCCCCACTGTCACTAGTCACCCCCCTCACTGTCACTAGTCACCCCCCCTCACTGTCACTGAGTGCCCCTTTGTCACTAGTCCACCCCCCCACTGTCACTAGTCACCCCCCCTGTAATTAATCACCCCCCCCCACTGTCACTAGTCACCCCCCACTGTCACTAGTCCACCCCCCACTGTCACTAGTCACCCCCCCCACTGCTTGGGGTGATACCCCCCCACTGTCACTAATTCTTTACTGTCACTAGTCACTTACCTCACTGTGCACTAGTCACCCCCTCACTGTGATGCACTAGTCACCCCCTGTGTCACTGAGAGTCCCGCACCCCTCTCACTGTGGTCATAGTGCCCCTGTCGCGGTCACCCCTGTCGCTTCAAGTCACCCCTCCACTGTCACTTTCAGTCGCCCCCCCCACTGTGTCGCTAGTCACCCCCCTCACTGTGGCCACTAGTGCCCCCTCCTCCTCTGTCACTGAGGTCATCCCTCCTCACTTGTGTCACTAGTCACCCCTCCTCATGTGTCACTGAGTGCTTCCCCACTGTGTCACTAGTAGCCCCCTCCTCCCTCTGTCACACAGATCACCCCCCCCACACTGTGTCACTAAGCCCAGGCCTCCCTCACTCTGTCACTAGTCACCCCCCACTGTGTCACTAGCAACCCCCTCCCTCACTCTGTCACTAGTCACCCCTTCCCTCACTCACTCTGTCACCCCTTCACTCCCTCACTCTGTCACTAGTCACCCCCTCCCTCACTCTGTCACCAGTCATCCCCTCACTCTGTCACTAGTAACCCCTTCCTTCCCTCTATCACTAGTCACCCCTTTCCTCACTCTATCACTAGTCACCCCTTTCCTCACTCTGTCACTAGTCACCCCCTCACTCTGTCACTAGTCACCCCCTCACTCTAGTGACAGAGTGAGGGAGGGTGTGACTAGTGACAGTCAGGAAGGGTGTGACTAGTGACAGAGTGAGGGAGGGGGTGACTAGTGACAGAGAGAGAGAGGGGGTGACTAGTGACAAAGTGAGGGAGGTGGTGATTAGTGACAGAGGGAGGGATGGAGCGACTAGTGACAGTCACCACCTCCTTCACTCTGTCACTGTGTCACCCGCTCCCTCACTCTGTCACTGTGTCACCCCCTTCCTCACTCTGTCACTAGTCACCCACTCCCTTCCTCACTCTGTCACTAGTCACCCACTCACTCTGTCACTAGTCACCCCCTCTCTCACTCTGTCACCAGTCATTCCTTCACTCTGTCACCAGTCATCCCTTCCTTCCCTCACTCTGCCACTAGTCATCCCTTCCCTCACTCTGTCACCTGTCACCCCCTCACTCTAGTGACAGAGTGAGGGATGGTGTGACTAGTGACAGAGAGAGGGAAGGGGTGACTAGTGACAGAGAGAGGGAGGGGGTGACTAGAGACAGAGAGAGAGAGGGGGGGGTGACTAGTGACAGAGTGAGGGAGGTTGTGATTAGTGACAGTCACCACCTCCTTCACTCTGTCACTAGTCACCCCCTCCCTCACTCTGTCATTGTGTCACCCCCTTCCTCACTCTGTCACTAGTCACCCACTCCCTCCCTCACTATGTCACTAGTCACCCCTCTCTCACTCTGTCACTAGTCCCACCCTCCCTCACTCTGTCACTAGAGTGAGGGGGTGACTAGTGACAGAGTGAGGGCATGACTGGTGACCGAGTGAGGGAGGGGGTGACTAGTGACAGAGTAAGGGATGGAGGGGGTGACTTGTGACAGAAGGAGGGAGGAAGTAGTGACAGAGTGAGGTGGTGACTAGTGACAGAGTGAGGGAGGTGGTGACTAGTGACAGTCACCACCTCCCTCACTCTGTCACTAGTCACCCCTTCCTTCCTTCACTCTGCCACTAGTCACCCCCTCACTCTAGTGACAGTGAGGGAGGGGGTGACTAGTGACAGAGTTAGGGAGGGAAGGGGTGACTAGTTACAGAGTGAGGAAGGGGGTGACAAGTGACAGAGGGAGGGGTGACTAGGGACAGAGGGAGGGATGGTGTGACTAGTGACAGTCACCACCTCCTTCACTCTGTCACTGTGTCACCCCCTTCCTCACTCTGTCACTTTGTCACCCCCTTCCTCACTCTCACTAGTCACCCACTCCCTTCCTCACTCTGTCACTAGTCACCCACTCACTCTGTCACTAGTCACCCCCTATCTCACTCTGTCACCAGTCATTCCTTCACTCTGTCACTAGTCATCCCTTCCTTCCCTCACTCTGTCACCAGTCATCCCCTCCCTCTGTCACTGGTCACCCACTCCCTCCCTCACTCTGTCACCAGTCATCCCCTCACTCTGTCACTAGTAACCCCTTTGCTCACTCTGTCACCTGTCACCCCCTCACTCTGTCACTAGTCACCCCCTCACTCTAGTGACAGAGTGAGGGAGGGTGTGACTAGTGACAGTGAGGAAGGGTGTGACTAGTGACAGAGTGGGTGACTAGTGACAGAGAGAGGGAGGGGGTGACTAGTGACAGAGAGAGGGAGGGGGTGACTAGTGACAGAGTGAGGGAGGTGGTGATTAGTGACAGAGGGAAGGATGGGGTGACTAGTGACAGTCACCACCTCCTTCACTCTGTCACTGTGTCACCCCCTTCCTCACTCTGTCACTGTGTCACCCCCTTCCTCACTCTGTCACTAGTCACCCCCTCTCTCACTCTGTCACCAGGCATTCCTTCACTCTGTCACCAGTCATCCCTTCCTTCCCTCACTCTGCCACTAGTCATCCCTTCCCTCACTCTGTCACCAGTCATCCCCTCACTCTGTCACCAGTCACCCCTTCCTTCCTTCACAGTGACAGAGTTAGGGAGGGAGTGACTAGCGACAGAGAGAGGGATGGGGTGACTAGGGACAGAGGGGGTGATTAGTGACAGAGTGAGGGAGGGGGTGACTAGTGACAGAGAGAGGGAGGGGGTGACTAGTGACAGAGAGAGGGAGGGGAGGAGTGACTAGTGACAGAGAGAGGGAGGGGAGGGGTGACTAGTGACAGAGTGACGGAGGTGGTGATTAGTGACAGAGGGAGGGATGGGGTGACTAGTGACAGTCACCACCTCCTTCACTCTGTCACTGTGTCACCCCCTTCCTCACTCTGTCACTGTGTCACCCCCTTCCTCACTCTGTCACTAGTCACCCACTCACTCTGTCACTAGTCACCCCCTCTCTCACTCTGTCACCAGTCATCCCCTCACTCTGTCACCAGTCACCCCTTCCTTCCTTCACAGTGATAGAGTTAGGGAGGGAGTGACTAGTGACAAAGAGAGGGATGGGGTGACTAGTGACAGAGTGAGGAAGGGGGTGACTAGGGACAGAGGGGGTGATTAGTGACAGAGTGAGTGAGGGGGTGACACAGTGACAGAGTTAGGGAGGGAGTGACTAGTGACAGAGAGAGGGATGGGGTGACTAGTGACAGTCACCCCCTCCCTCCCTCTGTCACTAGTCACTCCCTCCCTCTGTCACTAGTCATTCCCTCCCTCTGTCACCAGTCATTCCCTCCCTCTGTCACCAGTCATCCCCTCACTCTGTCACTGGTCACCTCTTCCCTCCCTTACTTTGCCACTAGTCATCTCTTCCCTCCCTCCCTCCCCTACTCTGCCACTAGTCACCCATTCCCTAACTCTGTCACTAGTCACCCCCTCTCCCTCCCTCTGTGACTAGTCACCCACTCCCTCACTCTGTCACCAGTCACCCCCACTCACTGTGTCTCCCCCTCACTCTGCCACCACTCAACCCCTCCTTCCCTCACTCTGCCACCAGGTACCCCCTCACTCTGCCACCTGTCACCTTCTCCCTCATACACTCTGTCACCTGTCACATGCATTCACACAGACACTATATACAAAAAAGCACATGTAGTCATCCAGACATGCACAAGTACAGTCACACAGACTCAAATACAAACATGCATTGATACACAGGTCTTCACAATATACACATCCAAAGGAATGCCGTATTATGAGTTATATTTAACATTTATTTAATGCACGTATATTTGGCCTTCAAAGGGCCTGGAATCTAATTTTGCCCGGGGGCCCCAAAGGTTCTCAGTCCGCCCCTGTGCAAGGTTAAGAGATCTTCAAATTGCACATGTGTAAATCTGTTAGGCATGCTCATGTGATTTTCCCGCATTCCTAGGGATAGGACACTGATTGTTTAGCTCAGTGTACCCCTGGAGTTGGTGCTGAAAGCATAAGAATGAAGAAACGGGTTATCTTTATCTTTTTTATTCACTGACCATTTTATGACACCCCCTGTCTCAGCGATGTGCTGTTGTTTTTTCCTTCAGGTGCCTATTTAAAAAAAAAAAAAAATTAATCTCAGTTATTATTATTATTATTATCGCTATTTATATATCACCAACAGATTCCGTAGCGCTTTACAATATAATGAGAGGGGGGATTTAACTATAAATAGGACAATTACAAGAAAACTTACAGGAACGACGGGTTGAAGAGGACCCTGCTCAAACGAGCTTACAGTCTATAGGTTGAATCATAATTCCAGTTGCAGCCATCTTTTAACACCTGGCAGTGAGGTTGGGTCTCTGCCTTCCTCCGCCCTTCTCAGTTTTCGCTCATACTCAGTCCGCTCTGCACTTCGAATGGTCAATGGGTACGCTTAGTTGGGGTTTGAGTCAGGGTTTTGAGCTGAGTCCTTGACAAAGGAAGTGGAGCTTGCCTTAAGCTCTGCCCCTTTGTCAAATGTTGTCATGCGCAGGAAAAATACAAAAGGCAAAGTATGTATTTTAATAAAAATAGAATAGGTAAGAAGTAAATGTAGTGCATTTTGAGGGACAGAAAGAAAAGAAGATTTTATTCGAAAGAAGGTAAGTTTGACATTACAGATACACTTAAAGAAGAAGCATGTTTTTTAATGTATTAAAAATAGTACATTAATTCTTCATGTCAATGATTTGCTATGAAACGCCGTAAGGCAAGTATGATAGGGCTACAAGAGCTGACACTCACTCAGTGCGAGCAGTCCTGCTGTTACTTGAAATTTCGTGGAAGTTCAATGGGTATTTACAACTGCGTCAGCAGTCATTTTGCAGTTTAGAACAAAAGCCTAAGGATGAGCTAGGTTTTGCATGTATTACGAAAATTATTTATTTACACCTGCATTTATTTATTAAGACCAATCCAAATGCGCATATTAAGCAGGGTGAGGTATTTTTCTATGCATGGATGCTTCCCAAATCTTTTCCTATTTTGGTGCAAATTTCATAACTGAAGACCAAAAACATAGATAGAGAAAAGCCCTAAACAGATTTAAAACAAAAGAGTTTATTTGAAGATTACTGTTCACATAACCTCAAATCAAATATTATTTGTCATATAAAAAGCATTTTTAATGTGAATTTAATGACTGTTTTGGGAATACAGATACATGGAAGTACCTGCAGGATTAAGGAGAATGTATGTGTGTACAGTACTCTTTTGCAGTAATTACAGATGTCTGGTTAATAATAGGAATAATATCTAGGCATCGTAAGAAAGTCATCATGAAGTGGATTAAACAGTAAAAATCGATGCAAAATGTAATGTGTGCAAAAATCAATTGAGCAGCACATCGCGAAGAGGCTTAGATGACAGCTCTGTCACAGAGAATCCCTGTGGTGGATGACTGAAAAATGTTGGCATTGGTACTTTGACTTCTATGAAATGCTTCAAATCTAATTGGATGACTCCTCACTTAAAAATAGTTTTCATGCAGAAAATGAACCCATACATACAGTTAAACCAATCAAGGAGTCTTCACGATAAAAAAAAAATGAAAAAATAATACTCTGGACTGGCCAAGTTAATCGCCCACCTTGAATCCAAATGAGCAGAGTCGGATTACCCATTAGGTGACCCGGTAGACTCCAGTCTGGGCCTGGAGTTCCGTCTCTGAGCGAGCCCTCCGCGAGTTGACAGGGAGATCACCAGTTCACTGACATTCCTAATAAAAATGTATTTTCAAAAAAAGATCTCACTGCACGGGCACTGGGGAGGATGTTTTTCCTACCTGAGGACCAGGTTGAGGGTTGGAGCAGGAGACCACCAGATGGAGTTAACCCCTTCTCCCCCCATCAACCACAAGGCAGAGAATTAACCCACATAGATCACAAGATATTTTAACCCCTGCTGGATCACCAGAGATCATAGCCTCCCTCCCTGCAGCCCTGCAAAATTGTAAGTGGGGGCTAGGGGGGCAGGGACACAAAATATAGATCACCATTACATACAAACACGCACACTACACAGTCATCACACATCAATCACATCCCTATTACACAGCATACAACATTCACACATTCAACACAGACTGCACAAAAAACACACATACCACACACAGCAAGCAGACAACACACACAGTTAATATGGCAAGCACGCAACACACACACAGTACATTCAGCTAGCACACAACATACACACAGTACATTCAGCTAGCACACAACACACACACAGTACATTCAGCTAGCACACAACACACACACAGTACATTCAGCTAGCACACAACATACACACAGTACATTCAGCTAGCACACAACACACACACAGTACATTCAGTTAGCACACAACATACACACAGTACATTCAGTTAGCACACAACATACACACAGTACATTCAGCCAGCACACAGCACACACACACTTAATACACACAGGCAGAACACAATACACACACACTTACTATATTCAGCCAGCATACAATATGTACACACAGAGCCAGTGCATGCACACATATACATACTGCATACATCCAGAACACATATCACACTTCAGGGGCCAATAGAGGTAGAGACAACATGGTGAGAGGGGGGAGGGTATGGGCTGTAGGCACGATCTTTAGTCTTTCTTTCAATCACAAGACTAGTGCCCAGGGCTATAGTAGTGGGCCCCAATGTGGTATCCTGCCTAAGACCCTGGGCAAAATGAATCCAGCTATGCAGAAAGACCATATACAACAATTTCCCCAAGCCCATAGCGATCCTCAAGCAATAATAAAACAAGTCTGCCTACGCCTCACCATAAAAATAGTGAAAGGTCATAAATCTACTAGCTCTAATATAAAAGGACCAATAAAAATCCATAATTACCTACATAACTATTAAAAATTAAAAAAAGACCTGAAGTAGTAATTTTGGATTTCTATGTGAGTGATGCTTTGCCAGATCTAACTGGGAGACAAAAAAACATGTGCCATCCAGACAGGAACCCTACATCTAGGTTCACCATTCTTTTAAAAGACATAATGGACACAGCTGTGAAGGATGATGTGGTGCAAGAGATTTAGTGGAACATTTAGCTCCTTTCTCGCCCATCTTGCCAATTTCTCACCACCTGCCCAAGATTCATGAATTGGTCAACTGTCCACCAGGAAGCCCTAAAGTGCCGGGCATATGTTCTCTTAATGAAAAATTGTCAGAATTGGTGTATTGTCTTCTTCAACCACAAGTAAAGAGATTATGTTGTCATTTGAGAGAGAATAAGCATGTTTTGAACATTTATGAAACATTTCACATGAGCAGGAAGTCTTTGGTATCTTTGATGTAATGTCTCTTTATTCCATTATACCTCTTGAATTGGGTGTTCAGGCTTTGAGTTATCATTTGCTTAGGTATAGTGGTTATACTCAGGGTTTGATTCTCTTTATCCTTACAGTGGTAACATTTTTCTTGGAGCATAATTTCTTTTATTTAATGGCTCTTACTATCTCCAGATATGTGGGACTTCAATGGGGGCAAAATTTGCCCCGTCATATTCGCATCTCTACATGGGATAGCGAGAAGAAACCAACATCTATGGAGATAGTAATCCATGCCGTTGACTATCTGATTGTAATTTGTGATGGTAGTGAAGCTTCACTATCAGCTTTTCATACACATATTAATTAAAATAATCATGACCTTCAGTATATTTTGGAGTACAACATCTCTGCTATACATTTTTTGGATGTGGCCTTGGAAAAGTATGATGGGGAGGTTCATACCTTCACGTATAGAAAAAAGATGTTTATCTACTCTATACTGGAGGTGACAAGACATCATCCTTTTCATACCAAGAAGGGCACGCAAAGTTACACGCTGACAATCTGTTTGTGGGCAACTTAACATGTTGTCCTCAAACAGCTTGTCAGTTTGTAACCTTTGCTATCCAGTTCTGTCACCCAGATCCAATCGTGAAGGGGTGGAGCCTAGCAAGAGGGGTGGTGTAACTAAAAGTGTTACTACACATTAATGTAAACACTGTCTTTTCTCTGAATGCTGTAGACACCAGAACTTATACATTATTCTGAAGTCTTTCTGGTAACTATAGAGTTCCTTCAAATTTTACTCTGTAATTTATTCATCTGTGGGGGGGTTTGCATTAGTAAATGGTAATATGTGGCTGAGAAGGGGACTGCAAAATAGGGATTAATAACTGATTGCATGAATGTTATCATAGGTTTATAACCTTGATTACATATTGCTACTTTATTGCAACAATGTGTTTTAATAAAATGTAGCAATGCACTTTGTAATGTTTACACAGAGCCATTATCCATGTTGATAGTATTAGAATCAGATTGATAATGCGTTCTCCGGGACGTTTCTTATTGCGAAACCTTTTTAAACCGAAACACAGTTTCCCATAGGAATGCATTGAAAACCAATTAATCCATTCTGGAGGTCAGAAAAAAGTCAAAATGAGCTGGCATGAAAACCAACCCACAATGCAGAACACACAGTAAAATGCATGCAAACGATGAAGCTCAGCTCCCTACCTTTCCACAGCTTGAGAAATGCACCAAAAAGTCCCAAAACAACTGCAAACAATTTCCAGAATGGCTCCAAAACTCTATGCAAAAGTCGCTCCAACACCTCCACACTTGACGCCACGTGCTACCAACAGGCTCCAGCATGCAGGGGGCGGTGCTATAAACCTCCAAGGTGCAATGCATCCTGGGGAAACTTGCTTTGTATTGCGAAAAAAATTTGTAAACCAAGGCATTATTTTCAATGGATTTTCATTTGTAAACCGAAAATTATGTTAACCGAGGCGTTTGTAAACCGAGGTCCCACTGTATTTTAAATTTTGGTATATGCGTTTTTTTGTATTTATTTCTATTTTTATTTGTATTTTGTAGTGTTGTGCTGACTGTTAGGTTCTTGGCGAGACAGCTTAGTGAATTCTCTCCTATATTTGTCTGTTCAGGGACAGTCTAAGGCTCAGGCCATATGAACAGGTTGGGCGTTTTTCTTTGAACATCTTTACCTGACTTCATGTGTGTGCGTTTGGCTGTTCCTCTTTTTTAGGTATAAGTTGGAGAAGAGTGTTCCTTAATTCAGTCTAGTTAAAGTATGTTCTACGAAACAGGTCGGTTGATTGCTGATGGGAATTCAAAGCCAATGCTTACATGTGTTTTAAAGCCCATACATGGGGAATAAATGATGTGTAATTCATTTTATTATTTGGACCGAAGTCACAGTTTTTCTCTGCATTGTTTACTGTTTCATGATTCAGCCATTGGTCAATTCCGGCAGATCACCAATCACGTAAATGCACAAATTTGTACATATGTTTGCACACACAGATATACACACACACACACAGTCACACACACACATATATATATATATATATATATACAAAATAAAGATTAAGGAACAGCACACAGAATTTTTTTTTTACATTTTAAAAGGCTACTTAAAATCACCTATCTCAGCAAATTCAGTTACACAGATGGCGTTATCGTGTTAAGCCTACCACAAGTCACAGTACCCCAATATCAGTGGGTCCTACACAAATTCCAACATGGGAAACTCTCCTATGTGCGCTGTTCCTTAAAGGGATTCTTTAGTGTAATGGATTACAAAACTGTATTCCTTACACCAGGGTTTGACAAATTTGTTTGGAATCTAGGAGCCAGCTAAAAAAGTTAGGAGTTAGTTTCTACTTTTAAGAACAATGCAATTCTTAAAGAGACACTACAGTCAACAGAACCACTGCAGCTTAGTGTAGGTTGTTCTGGTGTCTAAACCCTGTCCATGCATCCTTCTAGTGACAGAAACTCAGAGACGGCCACTAGAAATTCAGGTCAGTGCTGCATAGTGTGCCGCACCTACGTTCAGCGTCTCCATGTTCTGCATGGACACACTGAATGTTCCTCATAGAGATGATTTGATTCAATGCATCTCTATGAGAAGATGCTCATTGGAGCAATGAGGTATTGTGCCGCGCATCCGCAATGTCCTCCCAATGCTTTCCTATGGGAAAGCTTTGGCTTAGCAGAGATCATCAAGATGGATGATCTCAGCTATGGAGGCAAGACAAGCCATGGTGAAACCAGCACATTGTGGGAAAAAAGGAGAATAAAAACTCCTTTCCCATGCAATCGGAGGGGGGCATTTACCTAAACAGACACGATCACTGACAGACACACACAGAGAGACAGAAACGCATACAATCACAGGCACACACACACACACTCTCTCTGTCAGATTTAAACACACACACTCTGATAGAAACAAACACACACTCACTGAGAGATGCACACACTCACGGACACACACACACAAACACAAACGCACTCTGTAAGAGAAACACACTCTCTCTCTGACACACACACACACATTTTTCACAAACTCACAAATTGCTTCTTTTTTTTTTTTTTTTATCCTTCTAGTCTTACTACCTCTGGGAGAGCTGAGTGGATCTTTCCCTGGGGTCCAGTGTGCTGCTATCTAATCTTCCTGCAGTTCCTCTCTGCTCTCCTACACGCTCTCTGTAGTGATCCAGAGGCTGGAGTTAAAATGTTGATCTCTACGGCAGAATCATTGCTGAGAAATGGTGCCCCCAATTCCCCTTTTTTCTTTTACATATATATTTATATATTCCAAACAATACTGGCACACTGGGAATTCCACAAAGATCTTCTGTATTCAAGTAAATCCAGGTCAACGTTTCAGCTCCACATTGGAGCTTTCATCAGGACACATAAACCATACACCAATGTACATGGCTTTATATAGGACAAGGAAATACAGAAACTCACCATATCAGCTGTTCCCTGCTCTCCTGATTGCTCGGCGTGCATAGGGTACCCAGGCGCATGTGCAAAAGCTTCCAGATCATACCCATGTTTACAAAACTCAACGAGGGATTAATCAGAGCGTTCCGGCCACGTCATGTTCCCGAGGTACTCTACCGTGATTGGTTGCCATGCATGTACGCGTGCCTTCGGGAGAGGAACTCATCAAAGCCCAGTGAAACCCTCCTACTTGTGATGAGGGCTTCAATGCATCTCCGTGACAACCAGGACATGCCGAACAGACAGGGAGATATAAAGAAAAGGGAAACAGTACAGATTCCGGACAGATTACGCATATGTACAAGCGTACATGCATGGGAACCAATGACGGTAGAGTACCTTGGGCTGCTGTGGGAACATGACGACTCCGGAACGCTCTGATTAATCCCTCCTTGAGTTTTGTAAACGTGGGTGTGATCTGGAAGCTTTTGTACATGTGCCCGGGCACCCTATGCACGCCGAGCAATCAGGAGATCAGGGAACAGCTAATATGGTGAGTTTCTGTTTTTCTGTGTCCTATATATTACTATTTTTTTAATATTTATATAGCACCAGCAATGGGATATAAAGACGTGTACATTGGTGTATGGTTTATGTGTCCTGATGAAAGCTCCAATGTAGAGCTGGAATGTTGACCTGGACTTACTTGAATAAAGAAGATCTTTGTGGAATTTCCAGAGTGCCGGTATTGTTTGGAATTTAGAATTGATGTGACTGGGCACCACGTAATAACGTTATAGTTGGAGTGCAAGAGTTTGGACTTGCAAACATATATATATATAAATATACAGAGGGTGAAAGAACAATGAATTCCTTCCTACATGGTCCATGGTTTAATTGATATGTTTCAGGCTACCGATTATTCATTTTAAATTCATTGTGTAGGAGCAAATCCTAAACAATAGCAATGACTCACTGTCCAAATAGTTATGGACTGCATTGTACTTAACTCTATAAACTGAATTCTCTATGTGCCTGCTGAATGTGTGGGTCACTTTCAACAGGTACATTGCGAGTTTGAACAGTAACATATAATTATCCCTACTTTTATCTGTTCCATATTCTTATATGGCTCACACATTTAATTAAAGGCTCAGATTACAAGGGCCTCGATTTAATATTGTTGGATAATTTCCAAATGATTTAATATTTTTTTTATAAACTTTGAAAATTATTTTTCAGCATGTGAAAAGATCAAATTATCTATCATATATAAAAATATGTATCATATATAAAAATATAAAAATGTCAAAAAATTACAAATCTGTTTCATTAAATTATTTGAGAAGTTTATCAAGGTCAAAGCTCTCTGTAGCTGCGTAATGCTGGCCTCAATTTAATTTGGATAAGCTTTTCCAATTAATTAATTAATTAATTATTTTTTTTAGCATTTCAAATGATTTATCTACAGAAATCACAATTAAATGATGTGTGAATTTTTGTAAGTAAATCATTTAAAAATGTTATCCAAACATATTAAATCAATTGAAGAGCTTATCCAAAAATATAAACCTGAGACTAGAGTTGAGCGAACCCGGACTGTAAAGTTCAGGTTCGTACTGAACATTAAGTTTTTTGGACCCCGGACCCCAACACGGACATATCACTGTATGTTCGGGTTGGAGTTCGGTGTTTGGCGATTTAATGGCGCGTTTTGAAAGGCTACAGGGCAGCCAATCAACAAGCGTTTGACTCGTGTGCCCTTAGAAGCCATCACAGCCATGCCTACTAATGGCATGGCTGTGATTGGCCAGTGCAGCATGTGACCCAGCCTTTATATATAAGCTGGAGTCACATAGCGCTGCACGCAGATGAGGTCTTAGTAGTGTAGGGAGAGGATTCTGCAGCTGTGAGGGACAGCGTAGGAAAGAATTCTGCAAACTAGTACATTAGTGGGGTGCACTTCATATCTGAGTCAAATAGAACCATCAAATACCCACTGATAAGGGATTTAGAAAAATGGACGGACAAACCCATCTCTTGGATAGAACGGATCCACTCTGTCGAGATGAATATTATCCCACGCTTCCTCTTCTTATTTCAGACGTTACTCATTTGCATTACGAAAACACAATTGGTTCCACTACATCGAGCAATAAGGAACTTTATTTGGCAGAACAAGAGACACAGGATTTCCAGGCAGGTACCGTACAGGAGGAAGGACCGAGGTGGGCTGGGCCTGTCGAATCTTTACTTTTATTACCTGGCAGCTCAACTGTCACAGGTGGTTATGTGGCACTCTCCCCCAGATGAACGGAAATGGGTTGATGTAGAGGCTCTCATGGTGGGATCAGACCTCCCCTAGTTTACGATGTGGGTGCCGAGGGAACACAGACCGTTGATCAGGGTGACCTGCCCAGCAATATTGAACGCACTACGTATATGGGATGCGACACACATCAAATACGGACTGGTCTCCTCACCGTCTCCAGTAACACCTTTGTTCCGTAACAGAGCCTTCCCTCCAGACATGGCAGCGGGAGAGTTCTGTACTCTAGAAAGGGTAGGCCTCCAGAGGATACGCCACATGTTTCAGGGGTGAGAAATAGTACAGTTCGACGACCTTAAGCAACATCATCATCTAACACCCTCAGACTTCTTCAGATACGTGCAACTTAGGGACTTCGCTAGCCGACCCCACATTAAAGCTGCAGCCTGCGGGCCAATGACCTCTTTTGAGAGATGGTGCACAACAGGGAATGCACCTAAGGGATTAATAATGCTGCTGTATACCCATCTTAGCTCCAAAAACACAGAGTGGGGGAGATTGTCCTACACGACCAGTGGGAGTGGGAGTGGGATCTAGGCGAGGTTCTAGAGGGTATTGAATGGCAGGAAGTCTGGGAAGCAAACAAAAAGGCATCAATGTGTGTGACACTTCAGGAGCAGTCGTGGAAAACCATGTTCCAGTGGTACACCACTCCAGTGAAGCTCTTTAGAATGCACAAAATAAGCACAGGTGACTGTTTGAGGGGCTGCGGAACTAGAGGAACATATATACATATGTGGTGGGATTGTCCAATTATAAATAGATTCTGGAAATCGGTCAAGAACTTAGTGCAACAGATCAATAGAAAACCACCTCTAGACCCTTGGGTCTATCTGCTAAACAGGCCGCTAGAGGGGTGGACCAGGAAGGAGCAGAAACTACTGCACAAGATCACAACAGTGTGGCTATTGCCGGAGGGACTAAACTTTACAGGAGTAATTTCCAGGATCAAGGATAGTAGACTGATGGATGATTTAAAAGTTAGGGTGACAGGTACCACAGTAGTGTTCCAAAGAATATGGGAACCCTGGGATAACAGCCCACTGGGATAGGGAGACAAGCGAGAGGAGACCTGCATAGGGCTGGGAGGCAGGATGGACAACCGCTCCAGACAGAGACAACAGGATCGCAATGCAGGTACAGGTGTAGGAAGCCGGGTGCCCCCGTCCTCTGCCGCGCATGCCTACGCCCCCTCATCTCTTTCTAAGTGTCTATCCTTTTCTTTTACTTTCTTTTCTTCCTTTCCTTCTCTCCCATGCTTTACATGGGACCATGCGTATGCCAAGTACAAAAGGCCGACCTAAAAAGCTGGATAAGCACCACAGATATGGAACATAAGACAAAACAAGTGGAATAACATTGGAAGTATGCGATGGTTATTGGTCTGTGTCGTAATCAGTTTATTTCTCTTAAAAAACATAAAAAATCCTTGGTCTACAGTAGAATTGAGCAGAGTTAATAGATATCGTGCTGAATGACTTAATGTGTAACAAAGTGGAAATGTTTCATATTCAAAATAGGCTTTTGCACAAGCCGACATGCTAAAACATTTGTCTTACTGTTTTCTGCCAAGATGAAAAAAATAAAGAATTTAAAAAAAAGAAGCGTCAAATACTGCTGTCACATTGCAGTTTTAAAACTTAAAATTTTTTGGGTGCTAAACTGCTAAATAGTATTTTAGTGGGGTGCACTTCATATCTGAGAATCAAATAGAAGTGTCAAATAGTGCGCTTACAGCGCAGTTGTAAACATTCTAATTGTTTTGGTGCTAAACTGCTAAATAGTACATTTTGGGGCCTGCTCTTCATATCTGAGAGTCAAATAGAAGTGTCTAATAGTGTGCTTACAGCACAATGGTAAACATTCTAATTGTTTTGGTGCTAAACTGCTAAATAGTACATTTTGGGGCGTGCTCTTCATATCTGAGAGTTAAATCAAAGCGTCCAATAGTGCTTGTAAAAATTCTTATTTTCTGGGTGCTAATCTGCTAAATAGTACATTTTGGGCGTGCTCTTCATATCTGAGAGTCAAATAGGCGCGTCTAATAGTGCGCTTACAGCACAGTTGTAAACATTCTAATTGTTTTGCTGCAAATCTGCTAAATAGTACATTTTGGGGCCTGCTCTTCATATCTGAGAGTCAAATAGGATCGTCAAATAGTGCGCTTACAGCGCAGTTGTAAAAATTCTAATTGTTTTGGTGCTAAACTGCTAAATAGTAAATTTTGGGGCATGCTCTTCATATCTGAGAGTTAAATCGAAGCGTCTAATAGTGCGCTTACAGCGCACTTGTAAAAATTCTTATTTTCTGGGTGCTAATCTGCTAAATAGTACATTTTGGGCGTGCTCTTCATATCTGAGAGTCAAATAGACGCGTATAATAGTGCGCTTACAGCACAGTTGTAAACATTCTAATTGTTTTGCTGCTAGTCTGCTAAATAGTACATTTTGGGGCCTACTCTTCATATCTGAGAGTCAAATCGAAGCGTCTAATAGTGCGCTTACAGCGCAGTTGTAAACATTCTAATTTTCTGGGTACTAATCTGCTAAATAGTACATTTTGGGGTGTGCACTTCATATCTGAGAGTCAAATAGAAGTGTCTAATAGTGCGTTTACAGTGCAGTTGTAAACATTCTAATTTTCTGGGTGCTAATCTGCTAAATAGTACATTTTGGGGCCTGCTCGTCATATCTGAGAGTCAAATCGAAGCGTAACTTTGATATGAATTTACTACATCGGTCACTTGTAATATTGTTTCACACCTACAACACTTGTTACACAGATCTAAGGGATAGAAAACAGTGATATTTTCTACACTAGAAACTACCAGATAACAAGCTGCTATATTTAAACCAGTTATCAATAGCTAAGAGGTACTTAAACAATATTGTAATTCTGGGGCAATACTCTCACAAGTCAAACTGAGAGGTCAGTTTATAGGGAAAACTGTTGCAAGGATACAATTCTAAAACAATTTCCATATGTCCTTTGCAAACTTTACATGCTGGAAAAACACAGGTGCCAACTGCTGTGGCTTTCTGCAGTGTGCATACCGGCAAGGAGGGCAGGGTTGAGGAGTGGATGGAAGATGATGTGGAGGATGATGAGGTCC